GAATAAGAGTACCTGTTTTCCAGAGATCAGGTAAGGGGTACAACAGATTAGTTTTATACCACTTATTTATACTTACTTTTTGCAGTGTTGTTAGATAGCACTAAGATACTGATTAGGCTTTTGGCAAGCCAGGCATTAATCAACCTTCATCAAGGGAAAGGCTCATACATACCATTTTAACTCAGAACTTTTCTCCTTATAGATTCAGGTACTTGTGGTGCAGATTTCTCACTATATGTTTCTTAATTTGGGTTCTGAAATTTTTTAAAAGCCTTTTGTTACTTTTGAACTCCTCTGGTCAAGCTCACCATGCTGTGATCTCAGGACAGGAGTATCTGACAAAAATGCATTTACGCTGCCATACTAGCAGATCCCACAATTTTAAGAATTCTTGCAAAATCCTCAAGATTTATGTTAAAGAAAGTTACAGATGTAATGAAACACTGCGGTGGGCAAGAACTCCAACTCCTGTCATCCCACCTTTTTGTGGAAAACGAATTTTTTGGAAAGTGTCCCTGATGGATGATCACTACTAAGCTGGTAGTTGAAACACTTCCAGTAATTTAAGTCAAAACTCCTTACCTCAGTAATGCAACAAAATAAAATGCACATTATAGCTTTCATCCAGCCTTAGACAGTACATCCACTAATATGCTTTTCCACAGATAAGAACAGGGAAAGTAACAGCAATTATTTATTCTGCATTCAGCTATGTTAATTGCCTTCAAGTGCCTCACTATCCTTACTGAATAGGGCAAACAATTTCTGATTCTGCTCTACAATTCTTCACAGAACATTTCTGTGTCAAACATCTTAAGGAGACCAACCACCATAAACTCTTTCTCCCTTGTAACTCTTTTTCCCATACCTTTTAGTCCCCATTGAGGTCTAAACATTGTCATCATATTAACCAACGTTAAACCTTTCTAATTACTGTTGGTTAAACAAATAAAAGTGAGTCGAAAATATTTATACTGTGTTCTGTGCACCTCACCAATGACACTATTTAAATAATTTACATCTAGAAAACAATAGTGTTGTAATAGCAAACATATTTTATGTATAAGGGAACTAAGTGATGGTTCCCAGTACTCATTGCTTGACCTTGCACTCTGCCATCAATGGTAGTTTGCAACTTCAGTCATAAGCAGTTTCTAGGTGTTCTTGGAATTTAAACGGTAAATAATACTAGTAAAATTTACCCCAGTGAGACCAAAATTTTCCCTACTTTCCACTAATATTTCAAAGGATATTTTAAACTTCATTATTTTAAACTGTTAATTTATTTAATTAATACTCTTGCAATCATTCAATCTAAGCTTCCCTAAAAAGTCGGTCTTGGGTCCACTAAAAAACACTTAAGTTCCTTTGTGTCACAAAACAGCAATTACTGACTGTCACTAAGCAAGTGTTATAGACAGGTGTCCCCAGTTATATGCGTCAGAAAAATAATTAAAAAGCAGATTGCTATATGAAAAATATTCTATATACTATAATTGCTCATTGAAAAGAACAACAGCATGAAATAATTTTCTCCCATTACGTATCAGAAGCTGTCATTTTGAAATTCATTCTGGCTCCCACAATATAAATACACTTCAGTATTTCTATAAGCAATGCCAAAAAATCAGCAAGCGCTCACTGACTTTTGCCAACAAAAGCATGACTCTCTGCACAAGAATTTTCTTGCCATTTATAAACAAAGACATTTAGAAAGTCCACACTTGTGATTGGCCATATATTCCACCATAAGATAAAGCAGATAGCAAGACACTGATTTATTACCAGCAGCAAATATGGTATAACAACTCCATTTAAACACATAACATTTACGCAAAACAAAGAAAAATCTGAATTATACTTAGAATAATATACTGCGCTATAGATTATGTAATATATGCACCAGATATGAAGGAATTGATTTAAATTATATGAAAAATGATCCTATGGCATTATAAAATGAGTAATGTTAGACTACAAAAACTGCAAATCACATGTTAAAAAAGAATATTCTACCAAGAGACAACTTTAAAGTTAAGCTTCACTTTCATATGCGATAATCTCAAGTCATTAAGACATTTTCACGGCTATTTACTCTTCAGTCTTACATTCAGAGTGTCAGAGCACATGAAGGTCCACCAAATTTGTACAGCTAACTGCAAAATATCCCAACAAACTGCTCTGGTCCTGTGCCTCAGCAGATCATACGAGAGCTTGACCACTTCACCTTTTTCCCCCTGCCTGCACTATGGTGACCATCACAGTAGAAACGCCGCAGGAAGGAGGAACGCTCCTGGTTCTAGCTGGATCAGAAGCCGTGTTCTTCTCTGGCTAAACACCAGATACAATGGGAAATGAGACCAATATTTTCTAAAGTACAGTAACTAGAGCTAATTTAAATGATTTTAAGGCTCTATCCAAAAATTAGATTTCAATTTTTAGTGGCAATTTTTATATATGCTCCCATAATAGAATTAAGTGAGAGAAGCCAATGCAGTTGCAGTGTAGTTCACGGTATTTTCGTTCCTGTACCTCAATAACATGCAAGACACAGAAACACTCCGACACATACTAAATACTCAGTCACTAATTCTTATTTGCCTAGGAAGCAGAAAGTTCACTTGGGGTTAATACATATTCTGATCTATCCACTTAATTTCATGCTGCCTTTTTGATACTCATTCAGTTATAACCTCTTATTAAAGAAGAGGAATACACTGAAAAATAAACTAAACGAAGTCAAGAGTATCTTCATTTTATTCCACTTTTATAAATTTGAGAAATGTTAATATTGTATATGGGTCATACACAAAAAAAAAAGGGGGGGAGAAGAAAGAAATTGTTCCATTTTTCTGCAGCTGAAATCTGAGCTCTTTATTCATGGTTTTTTTTTTTTTTTACAATTTGTTCAATCCTTCCTTGATCAATTTTCCATTAAACTCATCAGGAGATCACGTGAGTAAAAACCAAGGAAAATTTTATAAAAACCTGAGGCTCTGGCTCATGGAAATACGTCCTGCCAAATGACACTTCTTGTATAACAACATTCAAGAAGCACAAAGTGATTAAATAAATAAATAAACAGTTCAGATTAGCTGTAATGCTACTAGTTTGCAATACTTCTGTGCTGACTGCTAAGATCATGCTTATTCTATAAAATCCAAAGCAAATAAACAAACTTTCATCTCCTGAACAAAATTTAAAAAGACTGAAAGTATACCCCCTACTGTCAATATAAATATAAAGAAATACAAGTCTGTAATTCTCTTCTTCCTGTTTACTTTGCAACGTGCAAGAAAAACTTAGGCTGCAATTTTCCAAACTCACTGAGCAAACTGGTCTCATAACTCCCATTAAATTCAGTGGAAGTTATTTAGCTAAGTCCCCCAGTCATCATTGTGCCTAGAGCTAAATTCTGTTCTTAGAGATAAAGAAAATAACTTAACGTGCAAATTGCATCAAATAGGTAATAATCCTCATAAATTATAAGTAAATAAATGTTTTGTCTTACCTCATTAAATCTTGTCACAAGATCTTCTACGGCATTATGTTCACCATTTTGGGAAGAAAGAATAGTGGCAGATACAGAGGCTTTAATACTCGGAAGCTTGCTTTGACATTCAGCGTTACCCAAGTCCCTGGTTAAAAAGCAGAGGTAGTCAATGGGTAAGACTTTCCGGTAGAGTTCCTGCTCCTGCTCAGTCAGTATGCTGGCAACCTCCTCCGGGAACTGAATGAGGTGCTGCAATTCAATCAGCTCTTTACTGATACCAGCCACATTGGAGGGAAGGACACTGGAACCAGCCATAGATGTACACGCTTGACGTTCTAAAACAAAACAAATAAAAATTGTATTAGGCTTCTCCTTTAACCCTTGGACTGGGCTGTGCAAAATTAAGACAATTTATTTTTCGATCTTTTATACTGTTTATTCATTTATACAGAAGTACAGCATTTCATAATTATTTTATATTTCAAAAATCTAATATATTCTTTTAGTTGAGAACTTTCTGTATATGTCCATAAATCAACATCTGGTATTAGTTATATAGCTGGTAACTGGGGCTTCTGAGACTATTAAGCTACCTGCCAAAACGTGCTGGCTTCTTGACTTTTCCAAACACCTGCTTCAACCACCAGTCTTGTCATAACCTTGAATAAAATGATCTTTTGGGCAGGGTGCTAACTCTACTTAGTCTCCATGTAGAGTCCCTGGTACGAAGGGGTTTGGGGCCTTGACCAGGCCATCAGGACTCTACTGCCACAAAAAAGAACATAAAATGATCAAATAAAACCCTAGTGGTCAGCATTTTTCTTCATATTCCTCTTGCTAGAAAATAAGATTCATCTGAGCTCACTGCATTTTGAAAATAAACATCCAAAGATACAAAACATTTTCCATTCCTCTGAGAAAATGCATATATTTGGAAGTATGCATGTTTTATCCTTTATTACAAAAGAGATGCATGGTAGTTTTGTAATATCCTAGCAGTGATGTCCCTTGAAAATTAAAACTTTTCCTAAGAAGGAAGCAGCCAAGCTTTGTAAGACCATGTGGGAAGCCTGAAATATCAACACAATGATTCCAAAATAGTGAGTATGAGTCTCTGACTAGATAAGTTTAGAATGGGTACGGTGAACGACAATTTTTCAAGAATTACTTAAACATATAAACAGTCATAGCGATGCAATTTGTACTCTTCTCCCTTCCCAGAAAAAGGACTTTATACATATATATGTGTATATATACATATGCATACATATATACACACATATATGCATACACATACATATGTTGCTTCATAAATTATCTTTGGAGTTTTTTTGTACACATAATGGAGTCACACTCTAGACCTATCTTTCACTTCAATCTTTTTTATATAAATTCTCATTTCATACGGTAGGCAAATATCCTTTCTGTTCTCTAGAAAAAACAAGTTAATTATGACTGAGTACAATTCATTCTCTTATAACAAACAAAATAGGCTTCATGAGGTTTCCCTTGTTACATTCATTATATGCAAACTCTATTATCAACCAGTGGAAGTTAAAAAGACAGATAATTACCTTTTCTTAATATATTCCATTAAAAGCCAATACATAAATTACAGAAGCCCTAAATAAAGCCTACAGGCTTTAATAGAAACTGTTAACAGAAGCTGTTGAGAAAATTTCAAATATATAAAAGGCTTCTGAAAGAGAAAAGGCATAATCTGTTTTCCATAACTACAGTAGCTAGGAAAAAGTTATGGACTTGACTTGCAACAAGTAATATTCGGGTTACATAGTAGGGAACAGCTGCAACCGTGAAATTTCAGGACAGTGAAATACTGCTACATATTATCTGCAGATGTCAAGAAATCTCTATCACTGAAACTATTTTAAGAAAGATTAGAGAAAAGATCAGTTAAGAATAACATAACATCAATAAATTGATCCTGTTTTAGGCAATAGGTGAAGTGCAGTGAGCTTTTTGGCTTCCCTACAGTTCTGTTTGCAATTTCTAATTCCAACTGGAATTCCAGTTCTGTTTTCCACTGCAATCTGTGTTGAGCACTTCTGAAAGGTTCCAAGGTCTGGTAAGAAAAAGTTCTCAAAAGCTGATTTGGACTGTTTTTGACTTGACAGTAAAACATAAGCATGTGCCAAAATGAAAACAATATGAAATACAACATTCATTTTACATTATAGGGATGTGCTTAATATATGTTTGCACAATGCTTTGCATATATAGACAGAATTGCCACTATCACAACCAGTATTAGTTCCAAAAAAAAAAAAAGGAAAAAGAGGATATGGAACACACGAGAAACATCCGCTACCATCCATTTGCTTCCTAGGATTTACATGCCTCACTGACCCCACATGATTGACAGCACTTCATTGTGAAATATGAGGAGCTGTGTCAGCAGGGAGAGGACAGAGAACACAGCCTGTCTCAAGCCCCAGCTGCACCTCGCTGCTGAAACAGAGGGTGTTCAGGGTGCACCTACATCAGCATTTTACGTTGGACCAGAAAAGCACTTTTAAAGCAAATCTCTCACATGTCCCCATTCACTGTGCGTTAGCTTACGGTCTTAGAGCATTCAACTGGGATCCCTTTCAGATGAAAGGGCACCAGAAGACACGCTCCAGGAGGGCAGCCAGTGCATTACAACTGCTGACGAGCTTCAGCCCTTAGCAGCACCCTAGCTCTGGAGGGGACCTTCAGGTCAGAAGCAGTAGCATAGCGGGACCAGAGTGCACAGGATGTGGCTTGGCCACCGGAGGTCATGGAAAACAGGGGATAAGACAGTAATTAGCACTGGTGACACAATACCACAGAAATACCAACACTTTGCAAATTCAATGTCATTTGGTAACTACAGCTATAATCATTCAATTATTATGTTTTAACATAGTAGGAAAGGAAAGTACAGCTCTTTACAGAGTGCCAGGTCAAGAAGATAGAAGCTGCTGACAAAAGAGAGTTAAAAATATGGATGAAGACGATATCTTCTCTGAGAAACTGATTCAAGGGCACTGGTCAAGGAATTCTGAAGGCTTTGCCTTCTCCGTTACGATAATACTAACTACAAAAATTATCCACATTCAAACTTTTGACAGGTCCACATTCCACACTTGTCTAAGAATTTCAGTTTTGCTTACACACCTGAATGAACTGGCAAAGACTGACACTGAATTTGCAACAGGCTCAAACGTTGTTCATAAACCTAATGGACTCTGCCTTGCTTAAGTATGATTAGTCTTCAGGCTCCGCTATTACAGTCTCTTAGATATAAGAACAATGTCCAACACACTGAAGCAAGTAGAGATAACAAGGTTGTTCCACAGTGCATCTGCTGACTGCCAGAGACTACTAGGAATACATTTGAACTTCACTTCACTATACTGTCTGCCCATTGAATAAAGACCAGTGGAAGGCGAATGCAGTTGTTTTCGAAGCCCTTAATGCAACTACCTGACAGAGGCCCTCATCATCCATAACAAAGATTTTACAAGTCAGCTTCATTCTCACGGAAAAATAAAACTGTCAAGAGGAAAATCTTTATAAAGAAGCTAAGCCAAGGTGTTTCAAGTCACAGGCTAAAAGAGATCTGCGACCTTTCTTGCTGGATTTGGAAAGAATATACAAAATAAATAAAACTTTCTGAATCAAAAACCACATTTCAGATTAGCATTTGTTAAACTGAAAGAACCACAAAAATTTCTTTTTAGCATAACAATCCACAGAATAAGCTGCTGCAGCAGGACTGCAGGTGATATCCAAGGAGGGGAGCACAGGCCAAACAGAATTATAAAGGCTCCTAGCTCATGGCTAAAGTGTGGATATAAACGCTGAAGAAGTGGAAGTGTTGCTTCTTTTTATTGGCTGTTTCTATACCTGTAAATATATCTTTCACCCATAATTCACATCTTTGCATGCCTTGATTGTTGAAACATTTCATCTCTCCAGATTCTGATGTTTTACCTTTCCTAATGTTCTAGCACAGAAAATTCAGGTTCCTCATTCTCAACTTCACCACTCTCCATGATTTACACTCTGCACAAAAGTCTTCTCCTCTTTTCCTCTTCTCTCTCTCATTTTTTAAAATTGCCTTTACTAACTTAGTCCTTTTTCTGGACTATTTCCTTGTCTCTTCTGCCTAAGACTCCTACCGTTTTTCATGTCAGGAACTGATCCGCACCCCTCTGTCTGCTGTTTCTTCTATAAAGCTTCCTAAGTAGTCTCATCCATAAGGTCTCTAGCTTTGTGTTGTTTGTCAGTTTATGTTCTTCAGGAAATAGATCCTATCTTTCTGTGCTTCACAAAAAGACCAGTTCTTCAGAGTAACTTACCAAATGGAGCTACTTTCAGGCCAAAATCAGAGTGGATTTTGTTTTTAGAGTTAAGGTAAGATACAATCCTATCTCATCACTAAAATCAGCAGCTGCTGCAGTAAATTGTGTTATTCTTTGCACTCTAAGACATCACGTTATTGCTAGAACTACTAGAAGAAAATGAGAGGGTCTCTGACTATTCATTTGCAAGTTTTTCAGTGCTGGAATTGATAGTTTTGTTCTCCTTTTGATAAAAAACCTAAAATAATCTTTTAAATAGCAAGCATTGCTTCTGTTAATCAACCCAAGATAACCTCTCTGCAAAGCTTCAGACCTATGAGTAGACTTAATCTCAGCTGATATGCATGGGAACAAAAACATATCATCCTTTCTTTTCTACCAAAAGAATAATCTATTTAAGAATGTGAGAAAAATACAAAATGTCTGATTTAGGATATTCTTCAGCCTAGGCTTGTCATAAATTCCGGAAAAACATTCACTCATTCAATGATTGGTTTTGATTTAAAACCTTCTGCAAGAAGTTAATAAGGAGCTCTTCTACCAACAGATTACCTTGAGATTAACTCAACCTTTCTTACAACAATACTTAGAATTTCCATACCTCTTGTACATGTACAAGCCTAACAAAAGACATACTGAAGTGTGTGGGGTGAGGGGGGTTTACGGGCGTGCACATAGAAGTTTTAAATCTTGAAAACCTAGAGATTTTCACTGACATTTTTTCTAGTATTGAAGTCTTATTAGATTTGTGCTGATATATTAATAAGCAGGGAGTTTAAGGAATTCGCTTTAAGGAAAAATGCAAAGATATTTTGATAAATAAAAACACGAAAAATACCAGTACAATGCTAGTGTTAATTATCTGTAATCATTTGTAAAATTTTTCCACATTTGTATGTTCTACTAAATATAATATTTGTAAGACACATGTAATACTTCCTAAAAATAAAAGCACATTATCTGGTAATTTACTGTACTACTGGCAA